GACACTTACATCAAATGTGGAGACAACTGAGAAGAGTAACCTTTTCCCCCACAATACAAGGTTAAGTGGATTAAATCACAGTAGACGGCAGTGAAGACAAAGCGAAATAGGTTTGCTTCCTCACACGTTGGCAGGCTGCGAGATGCATTCAGTGGCTTCAACATTTTCATAAATCAAACTGGATATTGTTATCCTAGTGTTGTGGTTTTTTCTTTCTTTTTCTACATAGGATAAAAGAAATAAAAATAAATGTACCTTACATTAAAAAGTAAAGAGCTTTATACATAAATAGGTCAGGTAGAAACTATGTAAAAATGATACGCTGTGTGTTTGGTTAGTGTTTATTTTCGTTGGTTGGGTTTTGTGCCTTAGCAAGTTCAGAAGGTAGACCCTACCTGTATCTTATGAAATAGTGTACAAGTCCTTCACTTATGACCACAATTGAGCCCAACATTTATGTTTTTAAGTGAGACATTTGTTAAGTGAGTTTTGCCCCATTTTATGAGCTTTCTTGCCACAGTTGTTAAGTGAATCACAGCAGTTGATAAGTTAGGAACCCAGTTGTTAAGTGAATCTGGTTTCCCCATTGACTTTGCTTATGAGAAAGTCACAAATGGAGATCACATGACCTTGGGACTCAGAAATGGTCATAACTATGAACCAGTTCAGAGATGGTATTCAGCAGGTTCTGACCAGTTCTGGAGAACTGGTAGTGGAAATTTTGAGTAACCAGCAAATACCACCTCTTTTGGCTTCATGCAAGGAAAGCAGCAGAAGCACCAGAAGTCTTTCTTTCTCTCCCCCAATCTCCTCCAGAAATGAGTCTTTGCTGGCACAGCCTCTTGGAACAGGAGGCCTTGCATGGTCCCAAAGACTCATTTCTGGTGGAATTTGGGGGAGAGAAAGAAAGACTTTTGCTGCTTTCCTTGCATGCAGCCAAAAGCAGAAGAAGAAAGAAGTGGAAAGAAGCGGCCCGCTGGCCAGGCGAGGCACATGGGGTGAGTGGGGCAAGTTCCCTCCCTCTTCCCTTTCCCCCCCTCCCCTCACTACCTCATGTTGCTCACAATCTCATGGACCACCAGTGGTCCCCAGCCCACTGATTGGCAACCACTGGTCTAGACAACAGATTACCTGATGTTTTCCCAGCAACTGTGGCTGGCATTAGGCAGAACACAGTCCACTTAGCAGAGATTCACCGGGCTCCTGTCTTTACAGTCAGGTGTGCTGACTTCTGATTGGTCTTTAGCGTAGGTGATTTATAAATGTTCCAGATCGATGAAGATTGGTCTGTTCAGTTTTTAAGCTATGTTTAAATACATTTGAATGAATCATGGACTAACTCAAACAGCTGTTTTCTTTCTGTGGTTAAAAAGTGGGCATCAAAACTGTTCCATTAAATGCATATAATAAATATGTGACTTGAGAGAATTTGTCCCCTTGCTTTTCCAACTCCCAAGGGAGAGAAGGATCATACAGATTAAGTTCCTGTATTGTACTCAAGGGAGATTCTGTGGCTGCACAGATATCACACTAGAGGAGGGGTGTCAAATTTGCATTGTCACGGTATTGTTACGTGACGTATCATGACTTTTTTCCCCTTTGCTAAACTCGGTGTGGGTGTGGCCAGCGTGTGATGCATCCTGCCCACGGGCCCCGAGTTTGACACCTCTGCACTAGAGTATATCGTGATAGAAACAGGCTGAATAAACCTATGAAGAAGATGCTCTGTATATTGTATATAAGTAAATGCATAGCAAAAACAAAGGGAAGGGAAGTAAGTCCATATGGCTGTGATGTTCTTCACTAACCGATATTTTCCTTGTTATTTCTGTAGTTCTTTTCATATTAGGTGGAAGATTTGAATGAAAAGCCAGCATAAGTGGGCACCTTTGTGTTATCATAAATCTCTAAAGGTAGTCTCAATTAATGTCCACAGTTGGGACCAAAACTCTGTTGCTAAGCGATATAGGCATTAAGTGAGGTCACACCTGATTTTACAACCTTTTTGCCACAGTTGTTAAGCAAATCTAGCTTCCTCATTGACTTCCCTTGTTGGAAGCCCCCTGGGAAGATTGCAAATGGTGATCACATGACCCTGGGATGCTGCAGTAATTGTAAGTGTGAGGACCCTTCCTAAGTGCTTTTTTCTGTGAACTTTATAACTTCAAACGGTCATTAAATGAATGGTGGTAAGTCAAGAACTACCTGTAAGGGCATAATTGTTCAGGAGCATCTATAGTGATGTAGCCATCAACACAAATGTTTTCCCTCAAGACCTTCTGGTTAACATGCCATGGTCTACAGATGAGGTAAACTAAAGCCATCCTACTTTTTTTTTTTAATTTATGGATGACATTTTCTGTATTGAAGCTGGTTGTTGAAGGTGTATCTCAGTTTTGGCAACATTAAGATCTGTTGATGTTTACATAGTTTACATCCCTTTCATGTTATAACCTGGAACGGCACCAGAATTTTAGGATCAGTTCTTCCACTATGATTCTCTTATTTTATTAGTATACATTAATAAGGACTTTAATACCCTTTGATTTAACTTATAATCCCCCCGAACTCCATTATATGCAAAGGCAGATGTCTCAACCTTATGAATCAGATGTAAATTAACTAACTGAGGTGAAAATTTACCTTGTACTCCTCTGGTTCACTCAAAAGTACAAGAATGCAAGCATGAAATTAATTTTATTTACCATTAAACGATCAATTGGAACATGAATTGCAGTGTTGTAAAAAATAAATTAATTTTAGCAGTTCTCATATAGGGGAAGTTAAATGTCAGCTCTGTTCCTTAGAAATACAACTGCTTTTTAAAACATTGTGTTCCTCATAAAAGAAACCCTTAAACAATTTGGAAAAAAAAAGACTATGAGTTATTTTATTTTATTTATTTATTTATTTATTTGTCAAGCAAGTATTAGATAACAGGTATAAGTATAAGCATGGTTATGAATACATGAAATGGATACAAATAAAAAAGAAACAGTAGGACAGGGACGGTAGGCACGTTGGTGCACTTATGCATGCCCTGTCAGTGTAGGTATATATTCTGTCAGTATAGCTCTCTGCTGATAGAAGTAAAGGTCTTCTTTTTGGTTCTGTACAACTGAGTTTATTGCTATACTTCGTGTTCGAATGTGTTTGCTTTTGCAGTAATAGAGGGCTGGATGAAACTCGGAGACCCACTAACTGTTTTTAGTTTCTACAAAGGCCAGCCAGGGGCCTTCACATGCAAAATATATAAGCCTGTGAAATTCATTAGCTCAGGGCATAGTGATGATCAGTAATTAGGATGGACTTAAATAGGATCAGATAAATTAATACCTCAGGTTGGGGGATTAACCTGTCTTCAAATATTAGCTGCAAGGAATCAGTGGTGAGAAAAGGCTCCATATCTCCATATCCTACTTGTGAACAGCCCAAAGGCATCTGGATGGCCTCTTGAGAGGAACAAAATGCCAGACTCAGCTAAGCCCTGGCAAGGCAAGTTTTTTACAGAATAGAGTCCTCATAATCATATCTATACTGAGAAACACATTTTCTCTGATCCTGGAGGTATCATTGTTTTTCAGTTGCTAGGTTATGTCCGACCCTTTGCAACTCACGGACCATAGCACACCAGCCCCCCCCCCCCCAACCATCCTCCATTGTCTTCCACAGTATGCCCAAATTCATGCCCACTACATTGAGGACAGTATCTACCATCTCATCTTCTGCCACCACCTTTTCCTTTTGCCTTCAGTCTTTCCCAACAAAGGGTCTTTTGCAGTGAGTCATCTCTTTTCATTTGGTGGCCAAACTATTTGAGCTTCAGCTTCAATATCTACCCTTCCAAAGAATCATGTTACCATCATTTCTTTTTCTGCTTGTTTTCAGCAAACCATGCATAATTTCATACTCCTAGTATATTCACCTTATTTCTAAGAATGTGAAATGTTTCCTCAGAGAAAAGCCTGTGTAATGTTTTCTTTGGTCTTTCACACACATTAACAATTCCCCTGACTGTTAACTATATATACCTGTGTACCTATGTTGACCAAATGTCAAAACTCCAACAATCTTTACTCATGTTCAATAAATATTGTAATAAATCATATGTGAGAAATGCCCATAAAAGAACATTTTCATGACCGGGTGTAACACTTGCAAAGAAATTATCAGTGAAAATTTAACAACTCATAATAATGATAGAAAACTTTCATCTGAATTTTAAAAACTGGATTTGCAGTCTACTTCAGAACAAATGATTAAATTATGCAAATAAAGAAATAATAATATAATATGGAATGGAAACCAATAGAAGAATGATATCATCATTTTTGATGTCATTCCTTTCGATAGGGATCAAGAGTCCCAGCTAAACAATATTCCTACACCTGGTAAAGCCAAAGCTGTTGTAAATCACATACAGCTACAAGGAAATGGATATGTCAATAGGAGATTTCCCCCTTATTATCCTTGCCCAGTGGGAGAAGACAGACAGTTTATCAATGGGAATATAGTCCTCTTGTGGTTTGTAATGTAAAATCTGCTTTTCAATGACATTTACTGTGCACAATAAAACTTTCTCTTTGTATGTTTTACCAAGTGTTTTTGCACTTGTCATGTAGTTTGTATTGGGAGGAAAACAAATGGAATAAGGATGAATGTATTATATACCATATATACCATTGGGGCACGGGGCCATATATTTTTTCTTGCAGGTTTCCTGAATGACAAGCTAGGTGAGAACCAGCCCCTGAAATGCCAACCAAATATCAGATACAGGAAAAAAAAATATTGTGGAAAGAAGAAATTGTCTGTCAGATTTGATCAGTGCTATGAAACAGTCTGTCATCCCAGTACTAGATGTTTTGTTCAGATACAAATGCAGCTGCCATTCCTGACGGCTCCCGAATGCAAATAAGGAGGATGAGGGAAAGAATATGAAGGAAGCACTATTGATTTTTCACTCCATTGTCTTTATGGTCTTCCTCTTTTCTTTTCAGGAACAACATGTTTGATTGCTTTACTGTCCGATAAAGAGCTCACAGTGGCCAACGTTGGAGATTCAAGGGGGGTTTTGTGCGATAAGGATGGAAATGCTATTCCTTTGTCTCATGATCACAAGCCCTATCAGCTGAAAGAAAGAAAGAGGATTAAAAGAGCTGGTAAGTTTCTGAAACAGGTGTTCAGTTTGCTTCTTTGTTTTATATCATGTCAGAACATTGTATTTGTTTATTATTTTGTCCCGTTCTTTCATCGTTTTATTTATTGCAATGTGATGGTAATGAATTTTCTAGAGAATTGTGGCAAAATAAAGGATGAATAGCAGGGGTGGTATTCAGCAGGTTCTGACCAGTTCTGGAGAACTGGTAGCAGACATTTTGAGTAGTTCGGAAAACTGGCAAATACCACATCTGACTGGCCCCGCCCCCATCTATTCTCTGCCTCCCAAGTCCCAGCTAATCCTCTGGGTCTTCTTTTGTTGCTCTGCGCAGGAGGATGGAGCTGGAAAGCAGATTAGTGGGGTGGGAAGGAATGGGATTTTGCAGTAACTTTCCCCCAGAAATGGGGAGGGAATGGAGATTTACAGTATCCTTCCCTGTCACGTCCACCAAGCCACACCATGGCCACCAGCCACACCCACAGAAATGGTAGTAAAAATGTTTGAATCCCACCACTGATGAACAGTATAGGAGACGAGAGAAGAAATAGGAGTGTTAGACAAATTGTTGTGAGGAAAGTTGGAAATAATGTCTACCCTTGTCTTTCCATGTCCCAAAGTCAAGCTGATGGGTTTCGTTCAGCTGTAACTGTAAGGAAACAAAGCAGACCCACTCTGCGTGATTCCTGGTGTCTATTATTTTCAGCTTCTGACAGCAGCTTCACTCTCATGGTAGCCCTAATTTCAGTATTATTTATGACTATTATTTATCAGTATTATTTATTCCTTAACCTGTCATATAAAGTCTTACAAGTCATACAAATGCAGTCAAAGGATCTGCATAGTAGACCTAAAGTGGAGATAACAAGATGTTAAAACACTGAAGAGTTCAACTGGTGCATGGTAATTCAGGTCTTCATGTCTAAATTGTTACATGGCCCAAAAAAGCAATGCCAATTTCCGCGCACAGGAAGGAAGACGGTTTAGGAAATATAAAACTTCTAATGGAAACTGTCCCAGGTTCAATGGCCTTGGAATTCTAGTTAAATAGAAGGGATGTCCGGAATTCTGTAGGCTACAATATATTCTGTGCAGGTCCTGTCGCATTTTTAAAATTCATGTTAAGTGCCCTCTTCACAATATCTCGTAACCCAAAACGACCCCTTCCACAAGTTCATTACATGTTGTATGATGAACAGCCTGGCCAGAAACAAGTTCATTGAATGATCCCAATTTATAGTATTGAGTGATAGAGGGAAAATACCTGTCATTCTAAAATCATGTCTATTTTAATGTGCTATTAGTTTAACTTTTTAATGTATATTTTCTATTAGGCAAGTTGTTATGAGGAATCTTTTGGTTATGTCTGCAAAATCCATACATCCTTTGATTGAAGCCACCCAAAATGGCACAAATGTAAAAGTTTTTGACTTCTCCATAACTCTTCATCAGGGTAAAATGTTACAAAAAATGAGATGTGAATAAAAAAGCAGGAAAATCCAGAACTGTTCTACTTGTTTCAGCCAGAAAGTCAATCACAAGATGGAAATGCTAGATTGAATACATTAGCCAGTGGGGAATACTGCCAATATTCAGTTGTACTGGACATTGAAGGACATGTTATTTTTGGTTTTCTCCAAAGATAAAATTACAATACTCTAGTGATGCCTTTTTAGACATGCAATCAGGACAGGGGCTTTTCTATTCAGTTCTGAGTATATATTGCGGCCATATGAAAATTTTGCTGAGAGCTTGCTAGGCTCTAAAGCTGTAAAATGTCTGTTCCTTATATAAATTGAGTTTAGTCAGGGAAAACTTTCAGTTACTTTCAGCTTGAGCTCTTTTATAATATGCAGCTGTGCTTAAATCAGAAATTATTTCTTCTTCAACAGCATCTCGACATACACAATATTTGGATTTATAATGAGAATTTTTAAGAATACTTGAGATGTGTAGAGTGCTTTCTAAAACTGGTTGGTGAGGGTTTATTTTAATCTTAGAAAATTATTCTTATCCAATACTAGGGAACACTAAATTTTCTAGGTCAGTGGTTCTCAACACGCTTTAAATACCTTTTATGGCCACGGACCACCAAGACTTAACTCAATATTTAAATCATAACATTTCTTCAAACCTTTGTGGACCCTCAGTGATGACATAACAGCCCCCCCCCCCAGGGGTCTGCGTCCCACAGGTTGAGAAACACTGTTCTAAGTTATAAGATTTCAGGCAAAACACCTTTTAGGAATCTGTTGGCCTCAAAGATTAGGATACTAGAGTTGATTACATCAGCCATCTCTTTTATGTAAAAATGAGACAAGGAGAGAAGAGAGAATATAAAAATTATACTTTTGGGGCTTCAAAATGTATTCAAATATATTTTCGCAAACTTTAAAACCTGAACAAGAAAATATTTGCCATTCCTCTTACACTTGTCCATATTTTTATGATCATTATCAAGAATAAATCATCCAGTTATCATCCATTGTTCTTTACTCTGTGGCTTTAGGCATTGTGGCATTTTACTAATGTAAAACAGCATAAACTAAGCTCAATAAAAATATATATTTATGTGGCAAGGTAGTTGAGAACATAGGGATAATGAGAGCTTACATAGTTGTAAAAATAGAAGTGCAGATTACACACAGTTTATTTTTATTTGTATTTATCCTTGGTTTTGTCCTTTTCCATTTCTATAAACATTCAAGGTAGCTTTCAACAGTTTTAGAATGCAAAATAAAAAAAACACAATAAAATCAGTGCAATTAAAATCAAAAGTCAAAAAGTAAAGTCAAAAAAATGGTTTAATTGTAAATTTCTATGAGAATTCTATTAATGCAGACGTGTTTAAAATGAGTAAATAATAAATAAAAGTTTATAAATAAAAAGAAACAACCTTGTTCCGTTTTACTAATTTGTTCTTGCTTCGGTTTCTGAGTTTGTTAGGTGGTGTTGCTGCAAAGTTCTGGGAGAAAATGTTGAACACAATTCTGAGAAGTTATAATTGGGGAAGACTAATTTGCACTTTACAAATGAACATTAGTTCTTTTCTGTTGCCATGCACTAAAGGAGATGAAATTTTCCCTTTATTCAGAAACTGTAAATCCTTCTACTTTTTTTTAAAAGGGCATTTTAATCTATAGCAAAAGGAAAGATTGACTGTAGTAATAAAAGATACCAAAAAACCCAGAAAATAAGCAACATGTGAGGGAGGCAGGATTGTAGGGGAAAAAGAGAGAAAAAGGAATGATTTTTTTTTAATAACAATAAAGCCTTTTCTCACTATAGAACAACAAAGATCCATTATAAATCTTTGCAAATGAGTCTGAATCTCTTCTTGAATTATCCCAGAGGGATATACAGTACATCAGGGGTCCCCAACCACCGGTCCCCGGACCGGTACCAGTCCATGGAACAGTTTCTACCGGGCCGCCGGTTTGCTGGGCGCCGCCATCTTGTTTTGATGAAAAAGTGCTTCCGGTGAGCTTTTCCGGGTAGAAAGCGGCGTTTGGGTGCTGAAAGAATCCTCGCGCCTTAGTTTCATCGAGGGGGGGGGGCGGCTTCGAACAAAACTAAGGCGCGAGGATTCTTTCAGCACGCATGGCAAGGCGAGCCGAGCGACCGTCCCGAAGCCGTCGCGAAGCCCATCGACACAGGTACAAAGGAGGAGTTGAAGGTGGCGAAGAGAAGCGGGGGACGGCTGGCTGGCCGGTCGCTCGGCTCTCCTTGCCATGCTTGCTGATGCCGGTACCGGGCCGCGGATGATTTTGTGATGCCGGTACCAGGCCGCGGCACAAAAAAGGTTGGGGGCCACTGCAGTACATGATTAAAATGAGGGGGAGATTGCCTGAGCATAGGCAAGAAAATGTCCTTTATGTTGCAAACAGAGATGAAGGTTGAATTTTCCTCCTATTCAGCAATTTGTCATATGTATGGATGAACCTGCCTACAGAAATCCGTGTCAACCATTTCAATAGCAACAGCAAGGATATTGATTCAATCTTAACTCCTCGTGGCAATGTTTGGATATTTCCTGAACTTTCTGCATCAGCTTTAAGTTGCATAACATAAAATGCATCATGATAGAAAAGGATATGCTCACACTGTATTAACTCTGGTCTCATTAATCACAGATGTTACTGAATATGCTTCCATTTTTCTAATAGTGCCATTTTCTTTTTACTCTGTATGCATGTAAGACCTAGAGACAAAACTAGTATAGGAAGGAACATCTGCTCTAGGGATTGTGAACTAAATATAATTCAAAGGCCAGAATGTTCTCCAAACTTCCTGAAAACAGATCAGTCAGGATCCAGAGCTATGGAAAGTGGAAGTTCCGCTATAGAGTCCATCTTTTCAGACAAAACCTTGAGTGTTGGGTGTCGTGTCCATCGCGGGAAGGAAGCTCGGAGTCAGTGACTTGGTTTCAGCTCTTTATTGGGCTCCGGTTACAGCTTAAGCTTGGAGGGAAAAACTGCGGCTTTTATTTCCGAGCCGCGGCGGCCGCGGCCAATGGCATCGCTTCGAATCTCCCGCGATTAGTTTCCACCAATCGCGGGGGATTCGTAACGGGCCAATCAGTGCGGCTCGCTCGACCAATCCGGTCGCCGTGCGCTTTAGCCAATCGCGACGCGGGGCTACGAGTATGTAAATTGACTGTACAGAACACCCCTCCCCTCTTGGTTCGGTCCTACGTAACGTAGTCCCGTAGGTAGGCGGGGCTTCGTACTTGCCTACTTGACTTGCGCAGATTAGTTGTTGTTTGGCTCCCGGCCGGTTCGGTCGGGACCTCTGTTTCTCTTGGCCTTGTCGATGGAACCTCCTGGAAGGTGTCACTGGGCCTCTTGTTGCAGCTCCCTCCCGGTCTACCCGGGTTGGTCGAGCTGTGACTTTCGCCGCTCCTGCCTGGTCTTTCCGGGCTGGTTGAGCTGGCCTGGCTGTTTCTTCCTGGTGAGTCTTCGGGCTGGCTGTTGACTGGTGAGTATTGCTGGTTATTTTCTATTC